GTCGCGATTAAGATCGACGAAATGCACCGACATTTCGCGTCAACCACATCCGCGCCCAGCGCACAATTTTGCTGTTTTGAATCCTTGAATCACAAATCTATTGCGCGCTAAGTGTCATCGCGAATTATTATCGCCCTTTCTTTTTCACGTACAGACATTCGGCGTCGATCTTCTTCCATTCATTCACGACACACGCGAAATCGTGAGGACGCCATGTTTTTCGAACTAACCTTTAAATCACCCGCTCCCTCCTCCTGTCACTCATCGCATTCACGCGCAAATTTCAATTGATACGCAAAATTGATACGCGACACGAATGCGAACACGCGAAAAAACGTGAAAATTTTATCATCGTGAAATCAATTTTTTTCGCACACAAAACTCGAGAGCCTACTTACATCACAATGGCTCGACAAGGAGAGAGACTCCAGATTATTCGGTGAATCTATAGACAGGAGGAAGGGCATTTTACAGTATCTCTCTCTCTCTCTCTCTCAGTGCACACATACACAGACACATACACACGGACGCAGAGAGAGAAAATCCAGTCTGCTCGGTGCAATCGGACTGCTCTACCTACTTTTCGCGCCGTGGCTCCATTTCATTCGTTCGTATCCCCGGCGGCTATACAGTTACGACGCGCACCACAAGTACAGAAGGAGACACACTATATCAGGCCGACGACACTCGCGTTCAACCCCGACGACGACGTGCGCGCACGAGAGGGGGAGACAGCGACGGAATCAGCCGCGGCGTTTTTCGGGTCTCGCCGGCGTGGCAAGATCGAGAAACAAACGGAAAACCGGAGCCGAAGAAAGAACAGGAACACGCGACTCGTCTCCCTCGGCTACCAGTCGAACACTGTCAGGTGTGCGTTCTGGCGACGCGTACGTAGCCGCGCCGCGCCGCGCCACACCACCACTACCACCACCACCACCACTACCACCACCACCACTACCATCACCACCACTACTACCACATCACCACACCACTACCACTGTGCCGTCACTGCCGTCGCTAGCGGCGCGGTTGCTCTCTCACGATTCTCACTATAGAGCAGCACCGCGTTAGTCGGAAGCAACGACGGTTTATGTAAGAAAGAAGGGGGAGTACTTAGACTCGCCGATCAACCGCTCTTGGGTGCGCCCGAGTTTAAAAATAGCGCCGCACTTTGAATTTTCACCAAATTTTTCCGCAGATCGTATACAACGGGCTCTTCTTCCCGTCGTCGTCGTCGTCGTCGTCGTCGTCGTTGTTGTCGTATATAACGTGGAACTGCGTAACCACGGGTTGCAGACAAAGACGGTGAGAGAGAAAGAAAAGATTCGTGTCTGTCTGTTTTCGTTCGAATGTCTGTTTTGTTTGTATCCAAATGTCTGTTTTTCTCGGTCAGGATCGGGAAACACGCGGGAAAGAGGTCGACGTAATTCGGGATCAACACATTCTTCATTTTTTCATCAATTTTGTTTTGTATGTGAATAAAATATACATCTCTCTCTCATCTCTTGAGGTTTCGCACACGTCGATCAGATCTCCCAGAGTGTTTGCGATATTTTTTTCTTCGAGATGTGTGTACGCATTTTTAATACGACGTGTATGTATCTTAAGTTAATAATTTGTAAATGATCTAGAAATTTGTAATTTAAAGAGAGTAACGTCACAATTTGAATCTGTTGACATTAATTTTCCAAGAGAGTTCTTTGATGGTGAGGCCAGAGCTGACTTTGCGTCGCTGCGGACCTGATAATTTAGAGAAATTTCCAAACTCTCTTATACTTTCTCACACACACGCTTTGACAAATAGAAGAATTAATACATATTCATGTGCGCTTTTGCGTTGAACGAGAAGAAACATTTGTATCATATTGTTGAATGCGCGCCAACATTGTAATATCGATAAATCGCCGCTGCGCCAAGAAACGAGAGAGAGAGAGAGAGAGAGAGAGATCAATACGAAGAGCTCGCACGAAGATAACATTGAATCAGTTAGTGACATAATCCGTGGACTGTAATAAATCAACAAAAGATACGAAAGAGAGAGAGAGAGAGTTTGACCGTGTCCTCGATGTCGGGTTGTAACGATCGGTCGCGCAGAGTTTCTGTTTATATTTGCGTGCACAAAACGCGCGCGCGGTGTGTGTAAAATAAGTTATTCTCTTCTTCGTTATTGTAGTTTAAAGTCAGGATGTTCGAGCGCCGGGGAGAAGAGAGTTACGAAAAGACACGTGAAATAAAATACGAAAGAGAGAGCGCGAATTGCGAGTTGTTCTGCGTCGAAAAATATCAACAAGCTGCTGTTGTTGCTTCTCTCACGGAAATAAATGTAAACAGAAATGAGATTTATATTGCGTGCGCAACTAGGATTTAGTATTACTTTATTTAAAAAAAATTAAGTAATACTTTATTTTTTAAATAAAAGAAGTCGCTATTATCGCTGACGCTTCGATAATCAAGTTTAGAAAGTCGACGCGCAAGTGAAAGAAGCGAACGCGCTCGCCGGCATTTTTGAAACGGCAAAAGCGCGCCGCTTGGCATTCAAACGATTAATACCTACCGACGAACGGTTCTGTTTGGGTTCGGTGAAATAGAAAGATTCTTACTTATCTCGCCTTGCGCAGTGCGTGCGACCCGCGAGTGTCACAAACGTGATAAAACGGACCGACAATCGAGCGGAAATGCGCGACAATAAATTAAAGCTGACGTCTAAAATTCGTGTAAGAGCGAACGAACTGTGTACGCGCGTATTATAATTAAATAAAAATTGCAATTAAACAAAAACTTCAAAGAAGTGTACAAAAGATAATGCCGCGTTTGTGTCGCGTCTGTTCCGGCCCACACAGACCGCGTGTAATTTAAGGCGCAGATCTTCGGCTACATTTTCAGAATACAAAGCGAATCTTCGTACGCGTGCGTACGTGCGTGACATTCTGCATATCGCATGCGTAATTGACGCACGATCATACACGTTGCCGCCGAGTAAAAGAGAGTCTGGCATGCGTTCTGACCTTGCTCTCGGAAAGCGGGATAATTTGCGCAGGCGGATGCGCAACATCGTCGTCCGCGTTAGCGCGTGCGATTTGCTTCTGTAATCGGACGGGGGCTTCGGAGAATCGTGCGCTAATTGAGGAAAACGCGAGAGCGAGAGAGAAAGAAAGAAGCGTATTTTTATTTTTTTTTTTTATTTTTTTTTTTTTGCTTCTTTCTCGAAGCGCTTCCTTCGGGGAACGTCCGTCAAACGACCGGGCGAATGAACTCGGTGGTACGATCCACCCTTTATCCGAGTAATCTATTTTCGTAACGCGGTCGGGACATCTCGCTGTTATTTCAACATTTTTACGTGAATGTGACGTTTTAAATATCGGTGAGGTATCTGGCACATTCTGTGATTGTTCTTTTCAACGCTTCTCGGAGATTTAATTCATCGAAACTTTCGTTTCTCCCTTGCTCGAGGAGGTAAATTAATTAATGTTAATTCAGCGATAACAAGGAGTAGCTTGCTTCCGGATCCGCGTTAATCTTCTCGCTTTAACGCGGGCTAAGGATTAAACTTGTTGCGATCTCACAGCCTATACATGCCTCTCGCCGTGACTAAAACCACTTTCCTCCCTTTCCGTCATATGATAATAAATGTTGAGAAGGCAGTTTTCTTTTTGTTTTTGTTTCTTTTTTTTTTTTTTTTTTTTTTAAGATCGCGTAATCGTACGAAGCTTCTTTCGACGCGGAACTCCGAGCCGCCGCGCTGCTGTTTATTTACATTGCATGTAAATCCGAGCTCTGAATTAATCTTTAGAGTGCCAGGATTTTCTCGAATCCTGGAGAAACTCCAGTTTGGGAAAGAGCTTTCCCAAGCTCAGTACGTTACCCGAACGTAAAACACGATCGTATAGAAACACATTAAATCGTTTCTCTAACGCGCTATAAACGATAATTCTTCTGCTTTCTATTACCTAGAAAGCGTAATTGAATAACAACACACAAAAGGTTGTATATACTCCGCGTTTATATATAAACTCCTCGGGGCGATAAACGTGCACGTGGAACTATTAAAAACAACTAAATTTTGCAAAAGATCAATAATTACGTGAGTCGGTGTAACTTAGATGTAGAATATATATATAAAACGCGCGAAGAGCGACAACCACCCTAACGTGGAAGAAACGCACGCTTGTCTTTTGGGTTCTGAATCGTTCGGCAAACGCGCACGAGGCTTTCCGAACTTTTTTACGTGTGCACGTGTATTCGCACGCTGTCATCGGGAGCTCTCAGAACGCCGCGGCGTTGCGTGAGCACAGCGCGGCGTGTATGCGGCAGAGTCTCTCGCGGCGCGATGAATCGGGAGCGGGATAAAAGGTAACGAGAACGGCGCGGCGAGAGAAACGGTGGTGTGTGAGAAAAAGCGTCAATGGAACAAAGAAAAGCCAACCGCTCGCCGCCGAGTTGGAAGAGGAAATCGCGGTGTAATAACAATAACGCGAACGACGGGCGCGAGAGACGGGAAAATTTTTCGGACATTCCGCGAGGTTAGTAGTAGAAAATTAAAAAAAATAAAAAAAAAAGAACAAAAAGAGAACATTTTCCGCGTCGCGCCGGCTAATTTATTGTAATTCGCAAATTTCTGTTCGCGCTCATATAGCGGCGTTTCGTTAATCCGACAGACGCGTAATTCCTGGTTTAGATTATTTTGCGGATATATACGTATATATGTATATATATATATATGTACATATACGTATATACACTATTGCGCGAAGGTGGGTAAATTAATATAACGAGCGGTGTGTATAAATTCAAACGTAAAATGCGGTCTATGAGAGCCGACTGTAAATCACGTCGAATAATAAACGGAAATGGAATGTAAGAGCGCGCGCGTTGATGTTAACAGCTTTTCGCGTGCGCTGCTTCAAAGCGCGACGATGTATATAATAGATTTCAATAATCACGCTGTCCGATGTACATCGATAAACACGAAGAATAGAAACGTGCGGTAGCGTTTGACTCACCGTGCTGATGAGGGGCTGAGAATGCCGAGTGCCTGCGAGGCGACATATTAGGATGATTACCCTGGTGGCTACCCGGTGGCTGCATAGAGGATAACGCGCCTAATGGCGTGTAGGATTTGCAAGGCTGTTCTGTCTTTTGCTAATAACAAACAGATACGTGCGACCGTGGATAAAATGCACAACTCTACATTTTTGATTTTGAGAAAACAAACATGTAAAAAATTGTATTAAAACGAAAAAAAAAAAATTCTCTTCTCCAACAAGACGTCGAACAAAAACGAACTTGATTTTTAAAAAGCAACACAATTAAACAAAAAACGATAAGCTTTCGTAAAAACTGGTTTTTCTTTCACTCCCTTTGGAAGTGAGCGTCGATAAATGTCGTTTTTTGACGAAATACAGAGAAAGAACGTACTGTTTTTAAAACCAATATTCTATTGTACTGTCCCCTGGCAATATATCTACCGTTTTGTATATTTGTCTTTACAAAAGCTTGTCATGACCGCTCAATAAGTTAAAATCTGCAACTTCGAATGTGTGCGCCACGCGCGCTTTTCACAAAAACACACATACGCACGTGAAGGTGAATATTTATACAGTTAAATGAGAAACAAACATAAACAGTCTTAAATTAAACACGAACCTGATCATGAAGTTCGGTAGCCACTGCGGTGGCTGCGGTTTGAGTATGACTGGTGGAGCTGATTCTGTACTGCATACCGGCAATACTGCAAAAACCTTCGTGGTGGGTGGATCGGGTTTGATTGACGTAAACACCTTGAAAAGAATTTGTTATCATGATAAGAAGATCATTAGAGTTTTCGCACTTAAGCCACACGTGATTAATTACCAGTGATAGTGACGTCGGTGTCCTGATTAACGATGACAACTTTCTTGGATGGCTTAATAACCTCCTCCGGATCGGAACCCTGTCTGGACTTCTTCTTATCGACGTCAGAGTCATTTTGTCTACGTCTCTTAATTATCTCCACTTCCGAATCACTGGAGGAATCACTGCTGCTGCTACCACAACGATTTTTCTCGTCGGAATAGGAAGCAGCCAAAATGGCAGTGGCATTAAGACTGGCCATCCTCTTGCAAACTACCATGTCCTTCAGGTCCATTACTTCCTCGTTCTTCTTTCTTCGTTTGATCATTTTCTTCTTGCTCGGTTCAACGTTCTTTTCCTTCTCGCAGTCCTCGTCGGATGAGGACGAAGACGACGAGCTCTCCAACATATCCCAATGTTTGCCGCGTAATCCTGGCACGTTTCTCAGTTTTCTCTTGAGAACGTTCTCCTCCGTCTTGCTCTCGGTCTTCTTTTCCTTCTCTTTACGCGGCGGCGGCGGCGGCGGCTGCTGCTGCTGCTGCTCCTCCTTCTCCTCCTTCAATTTCTTCGGCTTTTCTCTCTCTTTCTCGGGTTTCGGTTTGCAAAAACCACCGAGATAGACACCACCGGTCTCATTTTCATACAGGCAGTGAACTTTAGCCAAGGCATTCAATGACGCGACCCTGTGTCGTTTTGGCGCATTCCAGAAACCAAAAAGTCGCATTCGTCGCGCACGCTCGTCCGTCGGTGAGTTAGCTCGCTCTTTGTTCTTGGCATCCTTTTGTTTGCTGCTCTTGTATTCCTCGTCGGAATCGCCTTCGGAGTCAGATTGAGATGTAACGCCACTGGCACTCTCTCCATTCATTGCCTCAACCTTCAGATCCAATTCGACCGTGTTCTCGGTACCGATCTGCTCCTGTTTGGAATTTACGGCGGACTTCGCGCTATCTTCGGAAACTTTCGGCTGTTTGTTGTTGGATTCCTCGAAAGTTACATCCTCAGATAACGCTGGTGTTTGATTATTGCTCTCGTTTTGTACCTTGACCGTCTTTCCGGTCTTCTTCGTGATCTTGCTGCTGATTTTCCCACCGCTTTTCATAGCTTTTTTATTATCCTGCAGTTTCGAACCGTCCTCTTTAGCTTTCTCGAAATCCTCTTCAATTTCGCTCTTAATATTGCTCACTTCCGGCTCTTGACAAGCTTCATCCTTGTTCACGATCTTTTTAGATTCGGTTGAAACTTCTTCCGTTTCCTTCAATTCGATCTTCTTTTTGGCCATGATTTTCTCCGTTATGGTCTTGAGCTTATCCTCTCTTTTCAGAACAGCACTGATCTTCGAGTGTTTCGGGGGCAACTTGGCTTTCATGTGTTTAGCCAATTTCGGTTTCTTCTCTTGCGAAGCTTTACTCTTGGCGACGCTGCTGCTCTTTTTCTTCGCTTTCTTCGCCACATCTTCGTCCTCGCTCATTTCTTCGTCTTTCTCCGGCTTGACTAATTTAATTTTCTTGTCCACTAATCTTTTAACTACCGATAAATGAGGCTTCTTTGTCAAGACTGTTTTTCTCGTAATGCCCTTATTCTGACCTTGTTTTGCTTTGGAATCCTTTTTTGTTTTAGCGGGTGAAACTTTGTTGCTTGCCGCATCTTTTTCCGGAATTTTCTTGCGATCGGATTTTTTGTCTTTCACGGTGGAATTCTTAGACACCGACTTGACATCGGATTTAATCAGCTTCAAGTCTTTTTTCTTCTCATCCTTGCCTTTCTTTTTATTGGCCGTAGAGAATGCATCGATCTTTTCTTCAAGCGCATCTTTATCCTCTGTAGTGTTTAAAGTTATGGCATCTTCCACGCTCGCATTATCGTCCAATTTTACATTCTTCTTTTTCTCATCCGTTTTCTCAATTTTCTTCTTGTTGTCCACAGACTGTTTTTCCAATTTTGCCTTATCTTCACATTTTTGTACCTTTTTCTTATCTACAAGTTCTTGATTCACATCTTCCGTATTTGTTTTATCGTCACCTTTTTCTGTTTTCTTCTCTTCGACTTTGTCGCAGTCCTTGTTTACCTGTTTCTTCTTCTCGTCCGGTTTGTCAGATCGCTCCTTCTTCTTGTCTTCCATTTTCTTCTTGTCGTCGACCTTTTTTTTCTCCTCTACTTTCTCCAATTTTTTCTTTTCGCTGTCCATTTTCTTCTTTGCATCTTCCAGTTTGTCATTTTTCTTTGATTTCTTGTCCTTTCTCACATCGGGCATGGTCTTTTCTGTAATTGTGCGACGTTTTTTTGCGATTGTTGGCGTTTTAGTTGCCTTTTTGGCAACAACAGCCTTTTTCTGTGGCTTCATCATAAGTTTTATTCTTTACATTTTCAAATTGATAAAAATACGCTTGAAGTTCGCAAATGTCCAATGTTAATTCTCACAACTACCTAACTGCCATTGTAGATTTTAATAATCGCGACACGGCTCGCAAATTGTTGAGTTTTATCTGCGAACAATTTTAAAATTCCAACACCTGCATCAAATCTCAATAAATGCAACGGCAAATGTTTATTTATTTGCGCAATTCGAACAAGTAAACACATTTATTAATTCATTAGAAGCGTACCATACTTTTCGTGTTTATTTATTTGTGTATTTTACACAATATTGTGACTTGAAAAGCGCGATAAAATTATTTATTTGATTTTTTCTTTTTTTTTTTGTTTTTTTTTTTTTTGTTTTTCACAAAAACGAGCACGAAAAGGAACGTTCGCAGATATTCGGTGTTACGAGGATTGCGCTACGTTTTTTCTTTTTTTGTTTTTTATCAACGTGTAATAAAAACGTGTACGTATTACAATAGCGCGATAAAACGACACGCGAATACACGAGAATCCGGGGCATCCGCGAGAACGCGACGACGGAAATTGTAACAATACTCCACTAGCGAGAATCCGCCTCGTACGGTGTCGAGTAAAACGCGCGCACTCTCATCGACTTGTTGACAAATCGATCCCTTTAAATCTCGTTGCGTCCGTTGCGATTCGACTCCACAACGGATATGGGAGTCGTGCGATAAATAATCAACCGCAAAAACGTTGCAAACCGCGTCCGGGAATCGACGATTTTTCTCGCGTTGCGCTCCGAGATTTGCGCAACGACGTTCGGCACAACACACGAGACGGCGTAACAAAGATGCTCGTGCAACTACGCACGGAGGCGTACCGAGAAGACGACGACAGACGGCACCGAGAAAGAGAGACAGAGAGAGAGAGAGAGAGGGAGAGGGAGAGAAAGAACAAACCACGCACCCACGAGAAAACTCGGTTGCGACGTGCACCACAGGACGGGCAGCACGCCCTTTTAAAAAACGACCGCGGCACGAACGGACGGCCACAAGTGGCCCTGACAAGCGTGTGCGAGAGAGCGAGAGGGCCGCAACCTGCTGATCGATCAATCGTCGCACGCGGAGAAATCTCACGGACGGCGGATCGCGCAGCGGCGGACGCGATCGCGACACAACGCGAGATATACGGACGCGTCGTCGCAATTATATTCGCACAACACGTTCTTCCTGCAACGGAGGAGCGAGAAACGCGGGAACGAAATGCGGTATCGACGAGAAGTCGGAACGGCAGCAGCAGGCGGCAGAGGCGCCAGTAACGAGATGTCGTGTTTACCTCTCGGCGAGCCCTTTCGTCGGCTGCGCTCGGCCCGCGAACGCTTTTTTAAAACGGCGACCTCGTAGCAGCACTGTGTGCGGATTTCGCTGGCAGTGGCGACGACGACGACGACGACGGCCTCCAAATCCTGTCCGTGCGGCTTCCCGGTGGAACGCGCGACCGCGAGCAACGACGAGAGGCCTTACCCGGCGGAAGTTCGACGGCCCTTTTCCGCGCGGTCTATCGCGAAACTGGCAATCTCGTGTCGCGCTGCGCGCACCACGCACGACGTCCCTGCCCTTTTACCGTAGCCTCGACGGCCATTTTCTTCCTCGCGCCTCACCCCCACTCCTCCCGCTGAAGCCCGCTGTCACGTATGTCGGAGACGCATCGCCCCAACGCCGGAAGAGAGCAGCACTTACCAGTTCTCGTGTTACCGTTTTGCTTGCACGTGTCTACCAACAATTTATGCGCGTCCGTAAAATGATACACGAGGTCCTTAACAGGACCTGCGCGAGCTAGGGGAGCAATCAATTTACCAAACAAACGCACAATTGTCGCACGTTTGACGAAATGCGCGTGCAAGAAAGATGATATCGCGAAGATGATTCCAATTGTTCCTCAGATCTGCGGAAGCGCATGGACGTTAACGAACATTCGCTGTTCTCCGAGACACTCGCGCACGATTTTCGTGATTTCACTTTTCGGCGACAAAAATCTCATGTCTTGTTGTTTCGCACACAAGAAACAATTATCGCGCACCACCTCACATTTAATTTTATACCGCAATAAAGCACGGGACCGATTCGAACGCGACTCCACTAGTCACTATAGCGCGTTCCAAGATGGCGGATCTCGAAGAGCGATATACGATTCTCGACGCGAGTGATCGATACATTTCTATCTACATTCTACCACATGTATATATACGTATACGTATACACGTCCTTCGTCACAATGTTCTCCAGTTTTGTTTGGCTCTTTTTATAAAGCACGTTGAAGCGGTGGAAGGGATGCGCGCAACAGCAGCAAGTTCATGCGGTTAGAACTCGCGCTGCTGTTGTGCGCATCCTCTCTCCGCCGTTTCAGCATGCCGTCGCCGTAAGAGAGCCAAAATTTGCAAAATCGAGAACACTGCTTCGTTATGATCTCACAGTGGTTTTAGTTTTGTGTTTGATCGTATGTTAAAAATTTTTTCAACAAAACAATGGAGTGCGTGGTGGCAAATGTGGACAATATGCAATTTGACATCGAGATCGCTCTTGGTGAACAATTTGGAGCTCTTCCGTTACCATTTACCGGCATGGACAGTATGTTCTCTTACGTTTTGAGGTTAACTGTGTTCTCCGTGATGTTGTTCCATCACATACACACATACACACACTTGTATTTTGTATATATTATTTATTTTCTATCTGTATGTAATATTTGTACTTATAAAGGAGACAAATGACAACACAATGAGGTAAAAAAAAAAAAAAGTGGAAATTTTTCTGAATTTTTCTATTGCGAATCTGTAGGTGAGTTCGCGTTAGAGCGCGTAAGCGTTCAAAGTGAACGCATCCTGTATGTTATAGAAAAACTACATTTTTTCCTGAATTATACTTATTTACATGAGTTTAATTTTACACTTTGTGTGCGTAGAAGTGTGATATTTATTATAAAAAAAAAAAAAAAAAAAAACAGGTTTATTTTAAGTGAAACAAATTCAAGTCACAAATTACTTTCCTTGTTTTACAGAATCGATCGCAGCAGTATGTCAATTTTATCCCAAAGGTTCTTGTAACAAAGGAGCGTCATGTCCATTTAGACATGTACGGGGTGATCGTACAATAGTATGTAAACATTGGCTGAGAGGTCTTTGTAAAAAGGGTGATCAATGTGAATTCTTACACGAATATGATATGACAAAAATGCCAGAATGTTACTTTTATTCTAGATTTAGTAAGTGACCCATTAATTATTCTTATTTATTTTTTCGCTGATACTTTAGGAGATAGAAATATTCACAAACAATGTGATTTATCACAGATGCATGCCATAACAAGGAGTGTCCGTTCTTGCACATCGATCCAGAGACTAAAGTCAGAGATTGTCCGTGGTATGATCGTGGATTCTGTAGGCACGGGCCACTGTGCAGGCATCGGCATGTGAGACGAGTTTTGTGTATGGCTTATCTAGCTGGTTTTTGTCCAGAAGGACCGAATTGCAAATTCATGCAGTAAGTACACATAGAACAGATGCTATATCATACTAATCTATTTGCATTGTCTGTGTGTGCAACTTGCGATCTTCCTTTTCAGTCCGAGATTTGAATTGCCAGCGGTGCAAGACATGCAGCCGAAGGAAGGCAAAAAGATAATGATAACTTGTCACTTCTGCGGAGAAGGTGGTCACAAAGCGATTTATTGTAACAAGATGCCACCCGATGTACGAGAACAAGCACAAGTCAGACAAGAAATAGACGGTACCGCTCATACGACACATCACAACGGTCCGCCGCAACCTCGAGGTCCACAAAAGCCGCTCGAGGAAGTGACTTGCTACAAGTGCGGACAGAAAGGACATTATGCCAATAAATGTCCGAAGGGTCACTTGGCCTTTTTAAGTCACGCGCATACTAGTGGCAGTGGTGGACAGAATCCGAATTATAGGAGATAAATTTTTTTTCTGTATTTTTATTAATGTAACATAGATAGTATAATGCTACTTTATCTCATTATTAATTATCTATAAAAATTTTCTACTCTCATACAATAAAATAGTTTTTCATACATAACGTGTCGATCTACGTCCTTAGGGATCGCATTCTCGGCAATTTATCGGCACTCCCGTGCTTTTTCTTTTCTTTTTTTGTGATATAATATAGCACCAATATAAGTAACAAGTAATATAAAAGGTGGAAAAGCAGTGTATATAAGCGGGTGTATGTGCTTTAATGCTAAATCTGTCATTAAACTATAACAAATAGAAGTGTTCCTCGTTTCACAAATTATATAAGTTTAAGTAAGTATAGCTTTCAGTTCTGTTCCTGTATTGTAAGTTGCACATTTCAGTTATTGCTACATCTTGATATTTTCTTCGATACAAGATGTTATAAAAAGATATATATATATATTATATATATGTATATATGTATACTATAGCGGTTAGTTACATACTGTGTGGATAAAACTTGTATACGATCTGGCGGGAAGACACACTTCACTGGTTACAACTAACACTTCATTGGCTTCTTTGAGAGTTTGCTAAGTGGAATATTAACTTTTATACTCACTTTCTTGCATATGTACTTAAAGATTGAACAATAGCGTAGGAGAGATGTCAAAACGTCATAAAAAAACATGTGCTTTTTCAACCATCAAACCATGACAAGCACGTTTTTTTTTTCATTGCAAAACAAAACAATTTTTAGTTGTTTAAAATTATTATATCGCGCGCATTTTACGATCAAGAACGTAGCGTTTAATAGATAAAATTGCAACGAGCATCAACTTTTGCACACCCAAACAATTTTATATCGATAATTGCAACAAAAAAAACAATGTATTCTCAATAAATTTCTTCGAGAATACGTCTTATCATGTTGTATTGTCGATAACTTCAACGTAATTGGCAGGAAATAGTCCGTAAGTCCCATCGGGTCCGAGCCCTTGCCACCAGCCTTCGTCTATAGCGTCTATATGCGTAATTATATCTCCAGGATCGAAAGTAATCTCCGTATCGTCGGCGGCTTGATAATCGTACAAAGCTCTAGCTTTCATTCCCTCGTTGTTAGGGTCGAAGTATAGATAAGGACCGTCCAATTGATTATACAATTCGCTTTCGGTAATCTGCTCCTTAGCTTCCACCTGTTCGGCTTCCGGTTGCGGATTCACAATTGTTTTCGATTCCTGCTCGATTGTTTGAGACTGAGGCACTGTAGACGAGGTCGTAAGTGTTTCTACACTTGCAAGGTTTTCTCTTTCTTTTACTTCCGGCTGATCCTTTATCTGAGTTTCCTCCAACGCTTTTCTCACAGACTCCACGTGATTGTTCTTGGGTACGAATTGTTGTTGTTGTTGTTGTTGTTGAATCGAACCCGTCTTCATTTGGCCGGCGGCCGAATTCTTCTCGAATATCGCTCGTGCGTTAATTGTTCTCTGAGCTATCAACTGTTGCGTCTCTTTACTTCTCTGCCTTCGTAATTCTTCGCTTCGCGATTTATGATCGTCTTCGACGTCATTGCTAAAATTTTGATCGGCTAACTGATTGCGCAAGTTGTTTACGTCTTCCGCACGCTGTTCGGCCAACTTCTGCCGCGCGATTGAATTTTCCTTGGCGGTTACCTGATGAGAAAAGAATTTTCACAAATGTTGCACGTGTAATCTGATATGATTCTGATAAACGATTACAACATACCTTTTGTTCGCGTAGTTGTGTTTCCTTTTCTTCACGAGCTCTAATTTCTTGTTCTATCTTCTGTCGTTCTTTTTCTTGACGAAGTCGTTCTTGCTCCAGTCTCTTTTTCTCTTCCATTTCTTCCTTCTGCCAAAACTGATCTCTTTCCGTTGCGTTTATCTCTTGTTCAGGAATTACTCTGCGAAAAAAGTATTTGTTAATCATCATGAACAGCGTTGTAATCTAGTGTTTACAATTGCAAGCATTAAAAACAAAACAAAAAAATGTAAAAATCTCACGAAATAAATACACACATACCTGCGATATGTTGTTCCAATAGGACCTGTGTGTCCTTCATTTTCACCGCGAGGTTCATTAAATTTATACGCGGAAGCTGTTGCTCGGGCAAGCTTTTCCATAACTACATCTACTTCTACATCATCCTCAGAACGCGCGGTGATTGTTATATGTGCTCCTTTTAATAATCGCTCCACATCTCTGATGTGATTGGCGCATGTTCCTTTCCTAACGATTGGAGCACCTTCTCCTTGCTGTAGAAAAACATTTTTGAAAATTACACACAAAAACATTTCTACAAAGTTACATGCTATTTATATCGAAGTTGTACATGTCTTTTCTTTTTTATTCCAAGGTACGTGGAATATGTAAAAAACTGATATTTGTGTTATCTTTAAAATTACTTTAAACTCACCCAATTAATAAGCAAACACTTAGGTAGACTTGTTTTAGTGTCGATAACTCTACAAAATGCATACATGATGTGAGTGCTGTTCAATCGATCTATCATCTCTTCCAACCCACCATTTCCCGTTCCTACCACTTTCAAATTATTTGTCTGTCCTTCATATCCGAATATGGCCCTGTAAATCAGAAAAGCATACATTTGTTATCATTTCTAATTCTTCTTTTGCTTACGTAGTACATAAACAAACTTTTACAGAACACACACTTATTATATTTGTGAAAATTATACTTGTAAACACTCACAAGGTCAACAAGAATCTTAAGCGCATATAAAAATAAAAACACAATAGCGTGCTAAATATTATTTGTGTACTACTATATTACATTAAATTTTGTTTACTTTAATCACAAGTAGCGATTTATAAAACTTAAAAGACTCAAATAATAACAAGTAATGAATAACAAATATTTCTTATATATTTTTTTATTCAGTAAGAACAAAAATTATTCGCATATCCGTGTTCTTTTATCGCTGAAGTGCGACAGTCGTCTAAGTAGTTCGAATCGATAAGAAACGATAACGCTTATCATCAGCTCGATGTTTACGTGAAACAATACACTTCGCAAAAAATAAACACAACTATTCCGACTCGAGATTGCAGGTCCGACGAGGACGAAAGACAACCGGCTAATTTAATATCAGCCTGTACGTGTAGGTGCATGTGAAAGTTGCCTCGTGTATATAAGCCGGAGTTGATAAATCGCAACGCACGAGCAAACTTAAATCTTAAACGCATCACCTACCAGTTAGTAGGCACTTTCTCGTCCACCACGCTCTGCCAGGCGGCCACGAGGGCGTCTCTGTTTTTCGTCAGATCAATTGACATGTTTTCACGCCGGATCAATTCATAACAATTTCGACCGTATTACGTGTGTACTTTACGACGACGGTGTAATCGGCGCGACCGCAAAACCAGTCAGCGTCACACGCGCATCGCCACTCGAGGAGCGAGTGTCAACGCCCTACCTGCAACCAACCGCTTAATCGCGTGGTGTCCCTAGCATTGTCACCGCTCTGTCTTCTAAGATTTTTTAAGCACATTTGAATTAAATGTTTATTAATTTGTTTCGTTATCAAACGTAAGTAGATATATTATTATTCGGTCGCAAAAATGCTTCTCGACGACGTGTTGTTGCCGATTTTATGGAATTATGTTGTTTACTTTATTCTCGTAAAGAAACATATGTATTTCGCTTATATAAAATTGAGATGAGAATTTTTTAAAACTTCAATAATAATAAGTTGTAAAGCAACTATGTGAATTACTATCAGGTGTTTATATTTCGCAGTTTCTCAAAATTGAGCGGATATTTATGGATATTCGTAAAAACAATCAATGCAATTAATGAAGATCAGACCTTTACTTCACAATATATATTTCGTTACCAATAATAACGCACGCAAGTTTAATAAAAAAAAAAAACATTTAACGTTGGCACGCAACGGTTGAAATTAATTTTATTTATATTTGGCGCACAGTACTCCATCTTATTCGTCACTTCCGGGCGCTGAAGGTCATTGTTTTTTTTGTGATGTGTTCTATTTTGTTTGGTAGCAATCCCATTGGGAGGGGATGCGCACTGAGCTACGTAACCATATACTTACGCTGTGTGCGCATCCCCTCCAATGCTACCGCATGCTCGAAGCATCACAGAATCTTGCATCTCTGGTTCTGCGTCGCCATCTACACCGCCATATTTGTCGGTCTCGGGCGTTCTAACGTGTTCCAGTGTTCTAGGATCTTCGCTTCATTATCCGGCTAAAAATATTTAATTTGCAGAGTGCGAACTTTTCGTATTTCTTTTCGTATTTGTAATTTTGAGAGATCGCGCGTAAATCTTACGATGAGTAGCGACAGTATTGAGAAATTGTACAAAAATTTTGGCATCCTCGCCGATGCTAAGGACAAGTTGGTGCAGGTACGTATTGGTTATATCGTGCATAACCACGTTTTGTTAAATATAGCGAAGATCGCACTTTGTACTTACATTTAAATAATTGTAACAGACATTTGTTAATCAAATATTTTTGACCGCATTTGGAATATCGGGCACACTCCAAAGAATCCATAATGCACGTGGCGTCTATTGTCTGAATCCTATACAATGTTTGAATCGCAATCGTTATCATTTTGCTTAAAATATTGATTCTTTTACTTTGAAAGATTGAAGCTTTGTTGTAGAATTATTTATTGTGCACAAAAAGCTACTGTAGTCTGCCGAAAAATTGTCTCTGATTTGCCGAACAATTTTTTACCGTATAATAATTTATTCTTATTTCTCAATTCTTCTAAATTCATTCTTTCTTTTCTCTTAATTCTTATAATATTGTTGTAATATTTAATTTTTATATCTCATTCTTTTTAATTATTGTAATATTTAAGTATAAATTACAATTATAATTAGCCCTAATCCTGTAAACATTTTTTAGACATGTATTTTGTAAATCCTATCACTTATGTTTGACACAATTTTTTGTATTGATTAAAACGTTGCAAAAGTAAAAATTCACGGATCTTTGTTTAACATTCTATATTAAGGAAATAACATTAGTTTTGATATATTTCTTTATTCTTTAAAAGTTCTTCCGCTAAGTAGTTTATAAGATTTTCTGATTTGCAATCGCTCAGACATTGATATCTGGGATTTACAGGATTAGAGTTAATTAATAAATTTTAACAAATTTATTAATATATTTAATTTATTATAAGAAAACTAAATTGTTTATACTAATATTGTTTATTCTATAGCATGAAAAGGAATATTTGGAAATACTAACTGCAGTAAAAGGATCTCCGAAAGAAAAACGACTAGCATCACAATTTATAGCAAGATTTTTCAAACATTTTCCAAAACTAGCGGATAAAGCTATGGATGCTCATTTGGACTTGTGTGAAGATGAAGACATGGCTGTAAGTTTTCACATAGATTTCACTTTTGTATTTTTATCATATTTAGTTTTCGAATAAAAATTTGTTTTATTGCGCTTCAATGAGATTGTATCAAATAAGCCCATTGTTTTTTTGTTTGCAGATTCGGAAGCAGGCTATCAAAGACTTGCCAACGCTTTGTAAAGATAATAAGGAACATACAGCAAGAATTGCAGATATTCTGGCGCAACTATTACAAGCTGAAGATACTTCAGAACTGGCAGTTGTACACAACAGTATAATGTCGCTTATGAAAAGTGATCCAAAAGGTAAGAATAAATTAGTAAAATGTAATACAATAGACTTTTTATAAATTGAATGCAGCATTTATGTAGCATCATTAACATAACTTTATATTTATAGGCACTTTAAGCGGATTTTTCAGCCAAATTATTAATGGTGATGATGGAACGAGAGAACGTTGCATAAAGTTTTTAGCTACCAAGCTTAAAGCCATAGGACATGACATTATTACAAAGGAACCAGAAGATTTCTTAATTGCAGAATGTAAAAAAGTATTACAGGTAATTTTTTTAAATAATATTACGCATAATTTATATAATAATCTTCTATTTCTTTACTTAATAATATGGACACACTATTTTTTTTTTTTTTTTTTTATGCAGGATGTAACTGCTGACGAGTTTCACAGTATCATGGAAATTCTTGCCTGGACTAGACTAGGATCTACAGTTGCCGGTCAGCAAGAATTAGTCGACATTACAATAGAACAAGCAGAACTGACTATACCCTTCAAACATACCAATGTTGAACAATGGAATAGATTAGTTCAATGTATTAAACATGCTCTTCCATTTTTCAGTGTAAGTAATACGCACGCTTCTTACATTTTACCATGTTTTGGAATAACTTGTTTTCTAATGTTCACAAGTTTTGCATACATTGTATTTATTTTATTTTTATGTTTGAAAATATCTTCCTATTTTTTTTTTTCAGTCACAGATAGATTCATCCAAATTTGTTTCGTACATTTGTGTGCAAGTTTTGCCTCATCTTTCGTTGATGACTTCTCCGGACGGTAGGGATATTCAGTTGGAACTATTAAAACTACTTGCTGAATTAGCTGTATTCTGCGGAAATATTGAAAAACCCGAAGAAAAAGTTCAACAAATTTATAATACACTTATTGTGAGTAAATCATGCTTCTCTTTTAACAGACTTAACACACTTTTCTTGTCTCTAGTGTAGATTTTTATATCTTGTAATCTCAACTTATTAATCGTTGCTTATTGTTACATTTATCTTCTCTGTTTTAGACGTACATGCCACTTCCTCCGGCTACCGAGGTTACGGATGTACCAAAGTTACAGTTCAGTCATGTGGAGTGTTTGATGTACGCTTTTCACAAGCTGTGCAAGCAGACTCCTGAATTTCTAGTGAAAGATGCTGAGCAGCTCAAGGAATTTCGACTGAGATTACAGTATTTTGCAAGAGGTATTCAAGGTTATATAAAGAAACTACGTGAAGCTATTAGTGGGAAAACCGAGGAAGAATTAAAGTCTGAAGAAAATAAGTTGAAGGTTGTTGCGTTAAAAACAACTAATAATATCAACATTTTGATCAAGGATCTATTTCATTCGCCGCCTAGTTTCAAAAGTATTATTCATCTTTCATGGAAAACACCTTGTAGTGATAAAAAGGTAACTCTCCGTACAGTTTATATAAATATAAAATATTTTGCAAGTAAATGTTGTATATGTTTGCATCTGTGAATTGTTTTATGTTTTAATTTTTTTATTTTTTTAGACCGAGAGAACCACTACTCAAAAACGACACACACCGATTACATTTGGAAACGGCAGTAGCCCGAATAAACGTAACAAGGAAGATAAAAGCAATAAGAGAGAAATATATACACCTCCTAGTGGCAAATATAGTTCAAACATATCAAATTACGGTAAGCTAAAGTAACTATTGAAACTCGGAAAAAAATTAACAAATATTATTAATATTGATTAAATTATGACTATTGTTTTATTTTTGTAGGACGTGGTAGATTTAAAGGTAATAGAATTGGAGGAAGAGGAGGTGGATTCAGATCTGGAGGAAGAGGCCGTGGTCCTTGGAGAAAGAATTTTTATTAATTACAAAACTAATTTTTTGCTATAAAGTGAGAGAAACATAATCGCAACCGAGAGACAGAAATAGCAAAGAAAGCGTTTGATTACTTTGCCAATTTAACAAAACGCTTTTAAACAACACCAATATATCACAATATCTAATTTTCTATGATTTATAAATATAACGGAGACTTTGTAGTAATTTAAACACTAAACTGAAATGCGCAGACGTGAAACTGCTGAAAATGAAATTTCCAAATATTTATTTATTTGTAATAAATTACGACGGAAAAAGAACAAAATACTTGTATCGAAAAAATGACACATCGTGTGAAAAATTTAGAAACACGTTAGATATGTGAAGACAAAAACGAAAAATGTACGCAAATAATACATCGGCATGTATCATTTGTATCAAGATCAAACATGGTGTTGCAAGACTTAACAACCGATATTTACAATGGAAAACGCCGATAAAAGTGAAGAAGAAAGAAGATCTTCTGAGATACGAAAACTTGTCAAGACAGTATTATACAGAAAAACTTAGAGCAAGCTCCGACGAAGATGCATAAGAACCGTTCCGCTAGACTCAAATTTGCATCGCGATTTGGACAAGACGAAGATTACTAATAGTTGACTCGAAAAATTTGTCACACACTTCTCTCCTCTCGTCAAAAAAAAACTTCTGTATATATCCATTCCTTCCTATTAATTTTCCTATTTCCAAACCAAATCTTTATATTTGTTAACATTTGTTTGTGTCAACAGGGCCGAGACGTACGTAACAGGAGCAACTATAGATATACACGAGATCAACTTGATCGAAGAAATACTAGATATAATATATCTCGCAATATCTCTCATAGAGAAGCAATATGTCTAAGTACAATTGTACATATATAGTTTAATTGTATAATAACTTTAAATTATATATATATAATACTATGTGTATAGTTTAATTGCATGTATTATAACTTTAAACTGTATATATACAATTACATGTACACGCATGTTGCTTCTCGTGTAACTTATATATATCTTGAAAATCTTCGCCCATTGTATGTGAAATAATCTCTAGAGTATGTAAAAAGATATATAATCACATTATTCTGAATATGTCTAATCTAAACGAAGATTGATTTTGTAAATCTATATTTCTTCGACACACACAAATAAGAGACGGCGCTTGGAGCAGCAATTATTATACCATTGTTTTTTTTCAGGATACATGATGAGAGGCTTAGACGTCGAGGACTGGATCGAGAACGATCATATTCTCTCTTTGTGATTTGTATATAATTTTTTCATTACAGGATCTCACAGAGCAAAGACAACCTTAGAAGCAGGACTCCGTTGGGATTCTCGGAAAAAACTAATTAATATTTGTTTTGCAGGAGCAGATAATATTGTTTATTATTAATGTTTGTAATCTTCGTATGACTGTTTCTACTGTGAGGTGAGTTTTAAGTATCCCATATTCCTTTCCCTTCATCCGATCGTCATGTCGAAAGACAGCTATGTTATATTATTCCTGAAATGTCTCTAATTATATACATTTCAATAAACGATCCTACTTAATATTAATATTGGTGTTTTTTTATACCTGATAAATATATAAGTGAGAAAGAGAATATGTTATGCTGAAAACAAAAATTGACTCGAAACAAATCGATTTTGAATATAAAGCAGATATAAACTGTCTACGTACGTACGATAATTCCTATCTAATATATTACATATGCTGTATCTAAAATTTTTCAAATTTTAATATCTGTGTGTGTGTGTATAAAATTTATGTAGTTTTATTATTCTTTTGCACATTTACGCACATGTAATATAATATTCACTTTATTGAATTCAGATCAGCATGTATCTGAGTTTAATATGTAATGTAAATGATCTTCATGTATTTATTAACAGAGTTGAACAATAAATTGAGTTTACAGCAATATTATTACGTATTTATTTATCATTGATGACATTAGTTGTCGAAAAATTGTTTAAAAAGGGCGTGAAATGATGTGTTTTCTCAAATTCAATTTTATGGTCAATTTGTGAAATATATGCACGTTGGTTAAACATTAAAACAGCGAATATCGAGAAAACGTGTTTATCACGCGCTTTACTTGAATAGAGCAGCAATCGAAAAGCGAAAGTATTTTGAACGAATTGATTCCGAAAAAAGAATATACAACAGGTATCTCCATCTGGTCTTCTCATTATTTATATATTATAAATTAGATAAATTACAAATAGCAATAATTTTTTGTTAAGCCGATAACAAAAGCATATATAGAATAGTCTCATTTCTCAAAACATTCCGTTCGAAGAAATCATGTCGTCTATCACTTTGCACATAATCCGATCGCTTGGACTGCACGGATCCGGAGTTTGCTGTTCAAAGCCCATGTTATCCACAGATTCCATAGCGTCTGTGTTTATTGCGAGCTTGGAATCTAATTCCGAAGTATCCGGCAGCATTTGTAAGGCGTGTTGCAGTATCTCTTGAACCTAGAAGAATAAATGCGCGTAATATCAATCATATCAATCATACAAATCGCACAGAACAGATAATAAACATACTTTTTCAAGATGTTTCTGAAAACGCAGTGCTGTTTCGAGACGTTGTCTACGCTGCAATTCCATCATAACTCTTAACGTTTCTCTGGCTTGGTGTGGTCGAAATTCATTCAACAAATGATGAATGTGGATAAACAGTAAACTTAAATCTTCAACCTGCAAGAACATTACTTATGTTACTTATATTGTTACTACTAATGTGTAAAACAATGTTTATATTCCTAAACTGAGAGAGAGTATGTAAATTAATCATTTAGAACAAATAAGACAAGTAGCAAACTAAAGAAGAAATATATTTGACCAATGTGTTAGATGTTTATACAAAATATAAATTTTATTTTATTTAAACACATGTAATAATTTTGACTGAGAAAATCAGAATATAATTAATATTTTTCAGATACTTAACATCCATAAGAAATAATTCAACAAGACCAAATATATACGAGCAATTATGCCATTTTCATCATATTACTCCAAGTTTGAATCAACATCAAAGTAAAAAGTATCTCGCAAATAAAAAAAAAAAAGCGATATTGTAGAGACAAATTTTTCACTCGAATCTTACATCCGGATACGTACTTTTTCCGCACGTCGCGGACTGTCCGGACATTGGACAAGCAAATCTATCAAGTCCAGGAAATTCACAAGCAAGGAGTGATTGAGTTTCTTGAGTTCGCGTCGACGATCAAAATGTTGCGGGTAGAGCCGCTTGATTCCCTGAGCCTCCAACGGTCTGATTATCGTGTCGTCCGCGTTGAACACGTTGCCGAACATCGAGTAGCTATCGTGAATCGGCGGAGGTGGTCGTGGAGCTCTTCCACGGCGTACATTCTCGTCCGTGTACAAATTGATGTATTGAACGGGCGGCAGCGGCAGAGAACTGACTTGTATCGCCTCGGGAGCTGTCATGTTTCCGATGTTGGCGTAGACGGTGCAAGCGAACGATAATTCGACTCGTCAACAACGAGGCAACAACACACGTGCGACGAAATTAGGTTAAGTTTTGTTTATGCAGACCTCCCCCCAATCAAAATTACTCGTATCTCTCTGATATTAATCAACAAACGATTCTATATCGCGTCTCTATTCTCCGAATCGATTTCCAAAAGGATCAACGATTCTTCCGTATCACGCTCTCAAAGGTCTGTGGATGACAGGTACACCACACCTCATCCAACCAAAGCAAAACAACATACGTGAAGGCAGCCGCTCACTCGCAGCCCGCCATTTTGTTGCATTCGAGTTACGCGAGTCGAAAAATATCTCGTGCCGATCCCGATTCGACGTTCCGCCGCGCACTTCGGCTCGTTAAATCGTCGCCGATCTCGATCGCTATTTACGCGACGACCGGAAGCGTCGCGTCGTTGCGCTCCGGTGCGCCAAACGTATTCTCGTAATCGCGGCAAACGGGTCGTCATGTTGACCAACGTAGTGCGGCATTTCCTGATATCTCACGAATTCCGGACGTCGCCGCGAGACGTCTTCGTTTGACAGATTGTCGGTGTGTGTATGCGTATGTACGTTCCACGTGAATTCTTTGTTTAGGCGCCGGTGATGTTTTTGACAAGTGTCGGGGCTGCGGGGTGATAGCACGCATCTGTTACATGGTAAGCGCGAGTTTACGCCCGAAATGCCGACGGGGCGGGCGGCAAGTGCCGACGGGTCTCGCGTTGTGCATAGAATTCGAATTAACAAAACGTCGGGATAACCGCACACACGGTTCCCTCGCGCTGTTGCATCGTTTCGGGTCGCGACCGACACTCCGGTGATTTTTTCCCGGCTACCTATGTTTTTCTTTCAATTCCGTCGTGTTGTTCGTGAGAAGCACGGCCATTTCCGCGATGGAACTGTACGAGACACGGTAATAATAATTGCTGGTTTAATTGACACGTGAGTTGAATCGTGCGGCAGGAAGCGGGGTTGATGTGGAACGAGGAAAAAAAAGGCCCCGGTGTGTGCTATATTTAGAGATTCGTTTGTATCCTCTGTCGGTTCGAATAGACCGGAAGCGCATTGCAAGTCAGTTTAGAGATATTTGAGTGCACATGTAATTTTTTTTCCTCTGTGCCTGTGCGAAGAACGAAGTGCCGAATCGGAATGTCGTGCAACAAGTACTAATTCCAACTCCGTGCTTCGAATATGCAATAAAAAAAAAAAAAAAAAAAAAAAAAAATCAAACGTATCTAATAAGATTCTATTGTTGTGGTATAGTAATGATGTTTTTATACTGTTGCTAGGGAGGCCCTCCATCTGTGATGGCAGGGAAGGATGGAAAGCTAGAGTCAAAAGGTGGAGATGTTATTCGGCAAGGATTTATGATAAAACGTTCCCAAAACAAGAAACGCTTTACTCCAGTCAATTACAAACAACGATGGTTCGTGTTGACAAAACACTATCTTATTTACTACGATGGAGATGGTGAGGTAAGCAATTTTGAGAAATCTGGATTTTAATTTTGATTTCTGTAATTAGGCAAAAAAGAAACACAAAACGTGCTGTGATCAATAGATTTTTTATTTGTAATATTATATATGTGGCAAGTAAAGTTAATCGCATTTTTTAGTCAAGTTGTTATTGTTTTTTTTTTTTTAAAGAGAAAATATTTTGTTGCTCCTCTAAAAAATTTAATTTATTATCATGTTAAGACCTAACTTTTTAACTTTACTCTTTAAAAAAAAGGTATTTGTTATAAGAATAGTGAGAGAACACACTGAAAATATTGCAATAATTTGATTTTTTATTCAATAACTAACAGCTATTTTTAATATTTTTTAACAATTAATTTTTACTTTAGAAACTTCTATAAGCAAGATATACAAAATATTGTTATTTAATTATTTATGTGAGGAAAATAAAATATTATAATTAGTTTACCTTTTAATCGCATGAGAATTTCGAAATATACGTAAAAAAATACATACACACGAACAACCTATCTTATTTAAATCTTTCAATTGGTTACCAAGCTATCAATCATATATAACCAATTACAGTATTTAACTTGAATTGTATTTGTAAAAAAAAAAAAAAGAATACACCGGTTCAATGTAGTTTCGTCCGAGAAGACGGAGGTCAGATCTCGTCTTTGTCGCGGTCCCCTCAAATCTCACGTCACCGGACAGGGTGGTAACCGGTATATAACTATCGGCTCGGTAACTGCGTGCGGTCGTGACTAATGCCAATAGCTATCTCCGTAGCCAAGCAAGGATGGGGGACTTTAGGTGGACAGGGCTGCTTTCGGCAGGGGGTGGCGAATAACGTGCGATCGTGATACCGTGTGTAAAATTAGTGGCGCAGGCGCCACCGCGAATTCTCCATCCTACCCTCCTCCTCGTCGTCGTCGTCGTCGTCCACCTCCTCCTTCTCCTCCTCGTCATCCTTTCTTCCGCTCCTCTATCGTCGCCGTTGGGTTCCTGATACTGGTCGCCCGCTCAGTCAGTGGCCGTCGTTCGGTCTCGACGAAGCACGACGAATTTACGTTTGATCTTCCGCTTCCGCTCAGCACCCTCTTCCGCGAGTTGACGAGTCCCTCGGACGAGTCTATGACGCTTTAATCTCTCGTGGAGCGCGCCGAGTGCGGGAGAATACGAGACGCACGCTTCTTCATTCTCGACGTAGCAGTTCCTCGGCGCATTTCTAACCCGATACGCATTCAAGATTCCGAGTCCGATTTCACGGGATCGAGCTGCAAGCTGGACTTTTATCGATCTTCCAGTCAGAATTGTTAACACACATCGCGAATAAAAATCAATCGTAATACCGATCACTCTTCGTTCAACGTCTGTTTTTTGAGAAGACTCGTCTCGACGTACTCCGATTTACCGTGCGAAGAACCTCGTCTGGTCCACGTGCGGATCTTCTGAGATATTATTCTCGTCGGGGATCTCTTTGTGTTTTTTTTTCTCGCGTCGCGAGATCTACCCGTACAACGTGGAGGTAAAGAAGGTTTCAATCATATTTTTTTGTTTTCCTTCCGTTTTCGTTCTCTCTCTTCCGCTCTTGTTCATAGCCGACTGTTCATTGTCGAATGGAAAATCCATGTCGCGCGAATCCATATCGTGAATCCCGTTCCGCAAATGTCCCCGGGGAAGGTCGCTCGCTTGCCGTTCGCGCGCTTGTGAATACGCTTTTTTTTTTTTTTTTTACGCCCGAAATGCGATAATATTATATCAAAAAATATTATATCAATATTTTGACAGCTTGTTTTGTTCCCATCCATCGGATGGATATTACAATTTTGATTTTGTAATTATAGGATTAATGATGCGCGCATGTTTGTTAGCGCCCCATCACGGATTATTTCCCGACAATGAACAATACGCGCCTGAATAATTATTAAAAAACCGTCTATTGAGAGCGCGTAAATATGTTCAAATACCTGTTCTCTCTTTTGAGATATACGTACTCCGTTAACGCGCTTACATAATTACGTACATCGCACATAATTAGCGCGTTTAGTTAATTCGTTAAAGAATTAACTGTCGAGAGAGTGTGCTGATTGTATAAATAATTGAGATACTTTGTTTTACAATTTGTAACAGCTAATTTTTTTTACACATGTATCAGTCTTTAATAAATCAATGGGATTTTTTTGTTACAGCGCCGCAAGGAACGTGGTCGGATCGCCGTGGAGAGCGTCCACGTGGTGGAGACGGCCAGTCTCGGAAGTGGTAGCACCGGTGGCGGAGGTGGTGTCGGCGNGACGCCGCGGGTGGCGGCGACGCGGGCGGCGGTGGCGGCGGGATACCATCCGGGCTACCATTCCAGGTGGGATACCGGGAGGCCGGTCAGGAATACACGCTCTACCTTCTCGCCGCTCGCGAGCAGGATCGCGCCGAATGGATACGTGCCATACGGGCTGGTACGTTTTCTCGTTTCCTCTTTTTTCCCCCACATCGATATTCAACCGTGATCCGGATTTTTCGAGCGTATATTGTATTCGCACGGGCGCTTCTTCCTCTGACGGAAAGCACGACAAGCAGAATTCGTATCATCCTAGCAATATCCTGTTTTGATATATTTTGCCATGAGAATGTTGAACCGCATTGATATTGACTCTTTCGGTTTACGATTTTATTCGGTAAAAGGAATGAAGTTGAGTGAAGTATATACATGTGTGTTTAACCGTTCGCGCGAGCTCTCTCTCTCTGTCATTGAAACGATGTTATCATTTTGAAGAAATGATTTACGAGCATACACATATTCGCTTGCAGTGTGCAGTGAGAATTCGGGCTTGAGCGGGCGTTACCACGCAGGCCTGTGGAGCGGAAAACGTTGGTCCTGCTGCCGACTGTCGACACGCTCCGCCGAAGGCTGCGACACTTGCAGCTCCTGGTCCTCGAATCCGTCCTCAACGACAACGTCGGCCTCGACAACATCGACATCCGTGCCTGGCAATATCGTTAACAACTCAACCTCGACGCCGACCGTCACGTCCGACCATCGGTCACAATCGACGAACGCCGAAGCGAATAACAATCCGATCGTCCAACCCCAGGCTCGTTCTACAATTGGTTCGTACTTTTTTATATACGTATACACATTCACTATGTGCTTTTTCGGAGTCTTTAACGAATTCGTAATTGATTCGCTGGCGAATAATCGATGTTTTTTATTTCAACGTTAACGCGAGGATCTCGGAATTACGTTGGTTTTAATAGCCGGTTTGTTAAATGTCGCGTAAGAAATTAAACGCTGTCCGGCAGAGCGTTTATTTATCTCGCATCTCGCACACACACACACACACACTCTCCGGACTCTCTGTGTGTATTATTACGATATGCGCTATGCCGTTTTTGTAGCGTGCTTGTCAAAATATATCGCGCCGTTTGACCGTGAAGCAGCTATCAAGCACGCTAATTACGACCTAGTTGGGTGTATATAAAATGATCGCTGGTATCAGTTTGTTTATCGCGGAAAAAAAGTTGTACAAACACACATCGGGAATAACGCGTAAAATGGACTCGGCAATGCGTGTGATCGGTAGCGCGTAATTAACTGATTGCCGCTTTATCTCGTTAAATATTTAGTGGCAATAATGAGTCTATCTCGTTGCGAGATCGACCGATACTCTGTTTGTCGATGCATTAGCTCAATCTATTGCCGATGAACGAGATTACCGATGGGTTTATCGAATCAAGTGGATTCTTTTATAGTAGAAAATCTTGTTTTCTTCGTACGTTTGCGGGGCTACTTTGAGAATAGGGTTCGAGAAAATTATTTTCAAACAATTGATTTTGAAATAAATACTTGATGAAAAATTTTTCACATTTTTTTTATTTCACGCGAGAAAGAGCGAAAGAAAGAGAGAACTTGTGATTTTTTATCGCTTGGCGATGTTCGTGTATATTCACTTCTAAAAAACAAAAAAAAACTAGAATTCATTATCCACGAACGCAAATATTACGCAAATCTTTTGCATGTCGCAGTTTTTGAATTATTTAAATTTTTATTTCTGCTAAAAAAAAAGTAGTTGAAGAATTGAATTTTGCTTTGGGCGCGATGTTACATCGGCAAAAAATTTGTCTGGGCGTAAAGTCAATCCCCGAATAAAACTCTTTCTACGAAAGTGAGCATTATTGATAAATTATGTACTGACATGTTCGTCGATACACATTTCTGTGTGTGTGTGTGTGTATGTGTGTGCGCGCGCGCGCTTTTGTCTTTGAAAAGCTTTGTCGAGGGTTCCTCTTTGGAGCGGGATAGTTAAAAAAAAATGATGATGATACAGAAGCTCTGTTGTAAATACAGCAGTATCTGAGTTAATATCAGAGCCTTTGACGTCTGTCACGAAAACTTTTCTCTTAGACAACGGGAGCGTGACTTTCGACGTGACAGTTTTGTGTGCTGTGGAAATGCTCTGGGCTCGCTTCGCGAGCTGCGACGACGCCCGAAACTGGAAATCGCGTTTTGTCACGTCGTGTCGTAAAAATCCTCTCGGTCAAGTGTTATTCTTCCCCCAATAACTCGGGTGTCCCAGTTCTTTTATCGCTCGAGGCAAGACAGCCGTTCGACTTCGCCAATAATGCTGCCGATATCGGTAATTGAAATTTCGCGTGTAATGAACGCATTTCCATCTGACGGCGGAAGTGATACGGGGAAAAACTTTGATAGATTCTTCCGACACACGAAGTTATATGATTGCGCGCAAAACTCGTTGATTCGTAATCTACGTAAAATATAAACATGAGAATTTTTCAAAAAAACGGAAAGAATAACAAATCTAATACACGACAATAAAAGATCTTTGAAATTTTCTTGAAATAAAAAGATATACATATGATATATAATTATATAAATATTATGCATACATATATATAGTAGAATATTCAGTTTTGCAAGGCGTACTTTTGCGTGCTTCTCATTTGCAAACATTTAGATGTAAGTACGACACTCTATTCAGAAGTAAGTGACGCAGGTGCTAGTTTTTGCCAAGGAAAATTTATTATTAGATAACCTTTTATATTTTATAAAAATCGATGCGCGTTACCAGCTGGCGCAAAATAAGAAGTACCGCATGTATTTCCGCCCTAGGAATTGCGAAACGTAACAATTCAACGCGAAAAGATGATAACCTTTCGAGTTTCGGCTTGAACTTATTTGAAACAAGTTCGTGCCACTCAAAAGGTTGTCATCTTTTCCGATGATATATATTCGTACGTGTTTCATCCGAAAGTGTGTCTTTCTCAAGTGTGTCGATCTATCATCCATTTGAAGCCCAGAACGAATATATATAGCGAACGAACTTCCGCGTGCATATACCGCGTGAAACTTCCGTTTTCCTTGAACGAACCCGACCTACTTAAAACCAAATTGAATTTTCGATATTGTAATTGCAAATCTGAGTATATTGAAATGCGCTTAATGCTTCCCACGACGCGCGTAGGAAAATAAAAATTTAATCCGTGATGGATCGATCGAGCGAATTCATTTCTTCGATGCGCATCAATGCGGCGGACGCGGCCCGCACACACCACCGGGCTCTCACAAATTATCACAATTGTTATCTGCCGCTAAACGCGCGTCTTTACACATACTATATATAAATCTTCCGCCAGATTTCACGTATTATCGTTTATATCGTTTTTTTTTTCTTTCTCAGTTTTTCCAATAGTTCCACCTAACTTGACGGTGTTACGTAAACGATCATCATCCGGTTGGCAATTATCCCAACTTGGTCAAAGTAATCGCTCAGGGCGTTTCTCGATAAACTGCTTCTCTCTCTCTCTCTCTCTCTCTCTTTGAAATAAAGTTCCTGTCGTTATAATACCCCCGTTTAAATAACTATCGTTTCGCTAATCTCGCGCCGGTGATTTAATCACGAGCACGCTTGCGCGCGCCAAAGACCTCGCACTTACTCAAATTATCATTCGTGATGTGGTGCCGACCTTTGCATTGTTTCCACGGGAGATAGGCTTGCATTTATGCATGAAATATTCGATCCACGGTGTGCACCTAGCGTGGCAGGGCGCAGCTTAGATCGAGAGACCCGTATATCTCTTAATTTACGACACACACACACACACACACAAATAGAAGACAATGTGTTACATGCGAGATTACAACAACGCAATAAAACTTCCCGCATTTAAGGAAGACAAATAAGCTGCACGTAGACGTTATGGGGGCGACGTAAAAGTTAGTTTCGAGATTAGTAATTTCAAAGTGGATTTGAATAGCCTCGAACACACGCCTCTGTGTATCTCGCCCGCTTACTTTTGAACAAGTATCGGTCTTTTGCGCTTCCCCTCGATATCGCCCGTCCGTTCGCGGCCCGGGCTTCATCTTTCATCCGGGTGCTGCCGCTTTAATTTGCTCGCCGCGATATCAGACGTGACACGACTCCATTATATGAACGTCGAGTAGGTCGAGCACGCAATTAACAAGTTTGCTTGACTACGAGGCGCACGGAATACGACGAGGCGAGGCGCTACAGTTAGCAAATGAATGCAGCCGAGAGCTAAATCTTAACTACCTCTGACGTTGCAAATACGTTGGCTCATCGCGAAATGCAGTCGGGCCTTTCTTTTCTCGAGCATCCTTGACTCGTCGTCGAGTGAATATCGCGCGAGCCGCAATAAGCCCACACGCAAATTTTTTTTCTCTCCTTTTTTCCCTCTCATTTTTTCTCTCGGGATCGTTTCTCTATGCGAGAGAGGGAACTTTATATTGTGTATTCGTTCCGAGGCGTTCGGCTCATTAATATCGCTAATTGCGTCCCTCGACGCCGGCGTCGGTCGAATGCCGCGTTCGATTTGTCGATTGATTTTTTTTTTCACATCGAAGTGATTCCCAGCCGTATTTTTTTCTCTCGCATTTTTCCGAGCGATTGCTCTTCATGCTGCTCCCATTGAATGACACATTTCGGAGTGAGGGAAAGAGAGATATATATATATATATGTATATATATATATAAAAGGCCAGAGAGACAGTCTGCGCTGAAGCCCCATATATATATATATATATATATAATAAAAGCCAGACGAGCAAAGCGCACAGAACAACGTAGGAGCGGATAATCAATAGAGAAAGAGATTTGATTAAATAGCCGATAGGAGAGCCGCAACCGGTTCGAAATCCCCCAAGTTGGCCCGATCGGCGAAAGGGAAGGGGATTGCGAAGAGAAAGAAAAAAAAACCGAAATGAATGTAGACGGCGGAACTAATGTTGCTTGGGAAAGTCCCCAAAGCCACCTTCTCCTTGAAGTAAGCGAACTTCACTCAGTCGGTGCAACTGCGGCGCGCGTTACGGCACACTCGTTTTCTTCTTATTCGCGAATCCTGTCTTTCTTTCGGGGTCTATTAAGTTTCGCAGCCTTGAATGAATCTTCAAGAAGACCTTTCAGTATCGCACGGAAGGTGTGTGTATGTGTGTGCGTGTGTGTGTGCGCGCGCGCGCGCGCGAACAACTTCCACAGTTTGATTTTCGGAGACGCGAGCTGAATATTCGTCAGAAGGAGAGAGAGAGAGAAAGACAGAGCTTTCGACTGATCGAGAGACACGTCACGATGGCTGATCTGACGGTAATAAATGCTAATTGATTAAGAGCGTTCCCCTCAAAGGAAGCATTCGCGCCTCCCGAGTGATCGTGATCGAGACGGTTGATTTTCAACTCCGACGCGCTTGCCTCTCGCTACGTGAGAGTTCCGGAGATAGTTTTCATGTCCCAACTAATTTGCGAGGAGTACGGTTTTTTTTTTTTTTTTTTTTGTAAACTCACAATTGTCTCAGTCTTACTTGTCACATTATATATTTACCGGCGTCTTTTTGCGAAAGAATGTGCGAGATGAAATTTTTTTAACGATCTTTTTTCTCTCGGCTTTGCTCGTAATTACGATTCACGTCGTTTCCGACATCATTTTGCTCTCACTCGTGGAAGTTGGAGCGCTCATTGTCACAGTTGTTGCCTCGTCTGTGCGCGTATGTATAATGTAGTAGACATTACTTGCAGAGAGACGAAGCGAGAAAGAAAAAGAGAGAGAAAGAGAGAGAGAGAGAGAGAGAGAGAGAAGTTAAGTTGTTCGAAGGGCATGAGCTGGGACTCGACTACGAATACAGATCATCCGCTTGTTCGCGAGAAACGTCGTTTGCGGAACGCATCGTCACTTTTCTTGCGCTAACCGCGTCTGAGACAGAGACGGTACTTCGCAGTTCTTCGCCGATTTCGTTCGTGTTTCGCAAATAGAATTTGTCGAACGTTTTTAACATCGGAGGCTATATGGCCATAGGTTGCCGTGTTCCTAACTGCTTACACTTCGACATACCGGTTTTGTCTCGTCGCAAAAAATGTCTCAGGCTATCTCTCGCGATCCCTTCTCGCCGTTACAAGGTGCGTTTGGCCAGTGATGCGTGCCGCCGATATTACCGCAGACACAGATCTGCTTTCCTGTGCGCCACACCTCTTACGTCACACCGTCTTGTGAACTACTTCTTCTTCGTTTATTTCTCGAACGACTTAGCGAATTGAACGTTTAGAGAAAAGAGAGAAGAGGATTACCGCGCGCTCCTACGTAACGACGAGAGAATTTACTCCCGCTGTCTTCTCGCCGTCTTTCCAATGTTAAATCTCTCGAATTCCGATATGACAAGTACTTTATATATATATTTCGAGCGGCATAAAAAGCAGAAAAAAGAGAAAATTATATTTTGAAGAAGGATACGAAGAATTAATCTTATCAAATAAAGATAAGACTGAATTTATAAGAAAAACGTTTAATAAAATAGCAGAAGCGAGATACGTATTTGCAGAAACTGTATAAAACAGATTGTCTTCCTTGAAACGCTGTCAGGGATAAAAACGTGATCAGATAAACATTAATTAAATACGATAGGCATTACGTTGCATACCGTAAACAATAATAACACGAAAAAAGATAAAATATATTCGATAAAAAGTATTCATTGAGAGGAGATTAAAGAATTTTTCATCAGATGTTTCTGCGAAACTTGTGAGTCAGTTTTGATATCGTTATGTACAAATAAACGATGTTTAATCTTGTAATCTTTGTTTTATCTGATTCTATGAAATTGTTTACATATAGTATTGAGTTGCTAATTGAATATAAAAAGATACATTCGCTATCTGTTCAGGCATTACTCTTTCCGTGACTGTTCATTAGAAACAATTAAATTTAACAATGTTCAAGTATTTTCTTATTGTTATTTTTGTTGTTTGGTGCCAAACTCAGGCAGAACCGATATCCCATAAGGATGTAGTGTTGGAAAGTCTACCGCACATATTTCAAAATCTTGTGTCAGAAGCAACTTCGACACTTGATCCGCCAAGTAATGGAAGTGAAATTCCAGGTAAAAACCTCTTCATCTAACAATCAATTAAAACAGTTGGGAAAAACAGCAAGAGTTTTCTAGACATATTCTTCACTTTATGACACTTCTCTTACTCCCATTTTCACGTTCTAATTTTTTTTTAAAAACAATTGTTAATGCAATAACTTTGATTCTTCATTAGATGAGTGTAAATGTGGAAACGTGAATATAAAAACCCAAAATAACGTCAATGTGGGTCAGCAAGTGCTTTTCATATATGTCGAGGGTTCGCGTGCGCAAAAATTGAAGAATCGGGGCAACTATCTCGTCACACCTGGTGTAGGAGCGCACAAGCTTTATCTTGACCAACTGTCTTGGGCGAAGGCTCGTCAGGCTTGTGTTCAGGAAGGAGGTAAAGGAAATTAATTTTGAGGCACGTGTAAAATGATCATCAGTAATCGTGAATTGATCATCACGTGTTATATGCAAAGTTGGCGTGATCTTAGGTCTGTTGTCTTGTCAGCTCAAGTAGTTGACATGACGTTTAATTTTTTTTAAATACTGCATCACTTTCGTACGCAACTTAGGTCACCTGGCGATTATCAATTCGCAATCCGAAGAAGAGGTTCTTCTACGTATACTCAAAGAAAACAATGTAGACGAAGCTTGGCTTGGGCTTCATGATCTTTATCAAGAGGGTGAATGGGTGACCGTTACGGACGTGCCTTTGGAAGATACAGGCTACAGCAAGTGGGCGAGTAAATATGCAAACGACAACGGCCAGAATTGTGCGGCTCTTGTTTCGGAAGGCGGATTGGACAATTTGCAATGTGACAAACTTGTTTCCTTCTTTTGCGAGATTCCTATGTAGGTAATATTGTGTACCTATGCAAATGAGCGAATAATTCTTACTAGAGAAAATCAATACAAGTCATGTTAACGAAATGGAAAAACTGAAAAAAAAAGAAGTTCAAAAGTATTGTTTTCTGTATCTAATAAACTATGAAATATAACATATCTGTATAAAGCACACACACACACAATGTTTTATTATATTTTGTAAACTGGTTATCTGGCGGATTACTAACTTTGAGAGTCCGAAAAGGACTCTTCTTTTGCAAATGCTATAAGAAAAAAAATCATATTTTCGGCTTGACTAAGATTTCTCATTAATTGAAGACGGTAATTGAGTTATCTTCAATAATGATTTCTTAGAAAGTACAGGAAAGTTTTCTAAATAAACAGCCGTGTATTTGAATCAAGTTACTTGCGGAATTTTCGGAAAAGACTCATTCTTTCTTTTGCGAGATTCTTGTGTTATATTTTGCATTAGCGCGTATGTAAATACGTGAGAATAAGTTTTACTACGTGAGATAGTAGCGAGTAATGAGCTTGAGAGAGAGAGAGAAAAGTATTTCAGAGGAAATTAAATATAAAAAATAACAAACTTAGTTCTTTTTATTGCAACTAACAAGAAACAAGTATTTCAAATATTTTTTAATTTTTACTGGCTAGTGAATATCTATAAATCTCTGATTATTTATCACAAAAAAAGTTTATTCTCGCAGAGAATGCACTGAATTAAGAGTGCAATATTATATTGTTTTTCTCTTGTCCGACATTTCTGTGTAAAATCGTTCCAAATGTGCTTAAGGAAGTCGTTATAACGAATGGGAAAATCCCAAGGAAAAAGA